GGGGCGATATGCTGACTCTGTAAACCGCTTAGAGAGGGCTGAAAGCCCTATGAAGCGGTATATAAGTCTAACTGCTATTGCTATTGCTATCTTATAATTCTGTAATTCACGACTTAAAATTTATTGATTAAGACATAAGGCTTGGGGTGAACCAGTGGGAGTGTGCAAAGGCCTGTAGGGATCCAAGAGGTAGAATGTGAAGGGAGAGTTGTTTTTGGAGGACTGGGACAGGCCCACCCCTGAGGCACCCTGTGCTCCACTTAACAACCTGCTTTGGTAAGAAGAGGATTGGGGATTGTTAGTCAGATATTTCACTTAACAATCATCATGACATGCAACTGTAATAGGCAGCTCTATTGTGGTTGTATCTTGAGGTCTACCTGTATTTCAGATGTTTTCTACTAAGAATATTAATGTAAATAGTTCAGCAAGCATATATTCCCCCATGAAATATGTAAAATCTTTTGAGTAGAAATGTAGCTTTATATACTAAGTCAACAACATTTAACATAAAAGAAAACTAATATTTTGTGGGGACTTAGGTTTAAAGTATTTAATAAGTTATGAAGGCTTGCATAGCTGTGTAGAGAACTATGGTAAGTTAAATAGAAGTTGTATTTAAGTTTCCTTACGTAGTTGGATATAGCCTTAATTATGTTTGATTTTTCAGAATGCTTTTCCTGTTTCTGGACAACTGTACACTACTCATTTGCTGTCACTTGAAGCACTGTTGACAGTGACTGATCAAATTGAAGCACGGTGCCAAGCCAAAGTACTCAGAGGCATATATCAGCAAGAGAAAGAAATACTAAAACCAAATACAGAAATTGCCAATATCATTAGAGAAGCAAGTAAGAATTGTTTATTTGATATTTCTTCTTAAGTAGATAGTGACATTTGCCATTCTTGAGCCTATTTCAGGCAACAATTCTTCTGTTCCATGTTTTATTTTAACAAACAATTATGTCTGTGATACCTTAAACCTGGGATGGTGAACCTATGGCACGTATGCCACAGGTGGCACGCGGAGCCATTTGTCAGGGCATGCGAGGCGTTGCCCTGTCAGCTGGCCAGCGCATATGCGCGCACTGGCCAGCTGAGTTCAGCATTTTTAAAAGCCATTTTGGCCCTCCCACGCTCCAGAGGCTTTATAGAAGCCTGGGGAAGGCGAAAAGAGCCCCCCTGCCCCCCGCGGAGATCCTATGGGCAAACCGGCCCTATGGGCAAACCGGCCCTATGGGCAAACCGGAAGTTCGGGAACGGACTTCCGGTTTGCTCGTAGGGCGATTTAAGCCCTCCGGAGGCTTCAGGGACTGACTAAAAACCATCCTACAAGCAAACCGGAAGTGACTTCCAGTTTTCAGGGAAGCCTCCTGAAGGTCCCTGAAGCCCCCAGATGGCTTCCGGGGAGGGCAGGGGCTGTTTTTGCCCTCCCCAGACTCCTATGGTTTTAGTTTTAGTTTTGTTTTATGCGTTGCAAGCCACTGAGAATGATAAAAATATGTGGCCTACAAAAACAAATGATAAATAGATAGACAAATATTCTTTTACCCTATAGTTACTGAAGAATTGCAAACAAAACTTAAATCATCCACTGCAGAATTACCGGAGACACGTTCATCGAGTAAGGACTGCTTGGTGACCTCCCACTTGAAACAGCAAGACTGTCTGAATTCAGATATGGAAAATGATACAGGTAAATCTGATTTTTAGTTTAGTAGTGGTAGCCTGGAACAGTGAAGCATATAAATAATATGGACTTGGTTTTGTGGTACACCATTCTATTTGGCTGTGAACAAGACTGTGAATGATTGGGGATCTTTTAATATATTAATATGGTATATATGTGTGTATTATTTGGTGTTTTATCCCATACATAGGATACAGTAGGATACTGCTATATACCCCTTTCCTCCTCTTTTCAGTGGTTGAGACTTCATTGTGTTTCTACTGCAAAATTCTAGCAAGATTTTTTTAAAATTGTTCTTCCTCTATTGTAATATATACAACTGATTCCAAAGGTCCTCTTTTTTTGTTAACTAATAAACTCTGTCAGAATTGTGGCTGATAAAGAAGAGCAGTACTGCTTGCTTGTGAAATTGAAATTGATTATAATCAGCAATGCTAGTTGTTTTTAAAGGCTCTTCTGTAAAAGCAACCAATTGATATTTTTGCAGAAAAGGTCATCCCAAGAAAGCCTACTCGATTTTCCTGCTTCTTACCAAAAACACAAGAACTGATAATGATTAAGAATAAAAAAAAGGTATGGAATGTTGTTTCCAAAGCATCTATAATATGTGGCCATTATGCATACAGTAAAGATGTGGGTTCATTCTTAAGTACAGTAGTAGATATAGGCATAAAACAAGAAAGTGGGGGGAATCAGATTTGAATATGCTATTCTAAAGTGAACTTTAAATGCTTCTATTAGCACTTGAATATATAGAAATAAAAGGATCCAAATAAATGCCAGAATCTCTTATAGGTGAGAAGTATCAGGAAAAAAACTGAATTGGGGATTTACAAAGGCAATGGAAACCAAATGCTACCAAGTGCATGCTACCAGGAACTCATTATCCTCCAGTGCTCTCATATTTCAGAACTGCAACCTACCTGGAATGCCCAGAAGTACATGTGCTCAGAGACATGGCCAAAGTAAGGAAGGCTGAAACCCGACCACCACTGAACAGGACACATAATTTGAAATGACAAGACTGGACGAAGAAATATCTGAAGACAGATTTGTCAAAGGTTTTATGGATTGATGAGATGAGAGTGACTCTTGACCAGTGGTGGGATTCAAAATTTTTTACTATCAGTTCTATGGGCGTGGGTTGATGGACATGGCAAGAGAAAGTTACTGCAAAATCCCCATTTCCTCCCGATCAGCTGGGATTTGGAAGGCAGAGAATAGAGAGGGCGGTCCAGTCAGAGGTGGTATTTACTGGTTCTCCCAACTACTCAAAATTTTCTCCAGAACAGGTCAGAACCTGCTGAATACCACCTCTTCTCTTGATGGACCAGATGGATGGGCCTGTGGCTGGATCAGTAATGGGCACAGTGTTCCACTTTGACTCAAGATGCCAGCAAGATGGTGGAGGGGTACTGGTATGGGCTGGTATTATTAAAGATGAACTAGTTGGACCTTTCTGGGTTGAAGATGGACTCAAAGTCAATTCCCAAACCTATTGCCAGTTTTTAGAAGACACTTTCTTCAAGCAGTGGTACAGGAAAAAGTCTGCATCTTTCAAGAAGATCATGATTTTTATGCAAGACAATGCTCCATCGCAGATATCAAAGTATCCACTATGTGGCTAGCCAGTAAAGGCCTTAAAAATGAAAGAACAATGACATGGCCTCCTTCTTTACCTGACCTACACCTTATTGAGAACTTGTGGGCCTTTCTTAAATGGAAGATTTACAATGAAGGAAAATAATTCACTTCTCTGAAGAGTGTCTGGGAGGCTGTGGTTGCTGCTGCACAAAAAGTTGATTGTCAACAGATCAAGAAACTGACACACTCCATGAATGGAAATCATATGACTGTTACTGAAAAGAAGGGTGGCTATATTGGTTCACTGATTTTTTTTTTGAAATGTCAGAAATGTTTATTTGTACATTTTGAGTTGTTTATTATTCTCACTTTAACAGATTAAAATAAATGAGTGAGATGGGAAATCTTTCATTTAGTTGCATAATACTTCTGCACACTAATAATTGCCCAATAATTGTGCACACATAGATATTCTCCTAAGAAAGCCAAAACCTCACTTTTACTTTCTTAAATATTCAAGTTTGAGGTTTAATAACATTTTGCATTGACTGAGAGCACTGCAATTGTCCAATAATAATATTAAACCTTCAAAATACGAGTTGCTTAATAATTGTGCATGCAGTTTAGAAATTTAGTGTAAGTGTGGGCATTGACCATTTTTTTATTACCATTGTATTTTAAATCGTTGCTAAACAAGTAGCTACTAAGCAAAAAATGACTGTATTGAATTTTACTAATATAAAACTTAATTGTGTGGAATAAGGTGTAAAAATGGTCTCCAAACCTAAAGATTAAAGAAGAACATATTGAATTATATTACTGTATAGAGAGTATATGATTTGATATAAGAGTAATTTTACTATGAAGTATAACTTAATTCATTCATTTTGACTTTTTAAAGCTCTTGATAAGTGGTTCAGAGCACTTCAATCAGAAACCAAAAAAAGGAATACAGCTTCTTCAGGAGAAAAATCTATTGGCTACCCCAATGGATAATGATCAAGTGGCCAAGTGGCTGAGAGAAAATCCTAAACTGGACAAGAAAATGATTGGAGAATTTGTGAGTGATCGGAAAAATGTGGATTTGCTGGATAGTTTTGTCAGGTGAGTAGAAATGTTTCTTAAAACACACCAGAAGTAAGCTAAGAGAACTCTAGAATAAGGAATAATGATTTTCATAAATAATTAGAAATTATGTTTGCTGTGCTATTTTATGGGTTTGTATCAGAGGTGGTATTCAGCCAGTTCTGACTGGTTATGGAGAACTGGTAGCCTAAATTCTGAGTAGTTCAGAGAATCAGCAAATAGGCTGGTCCCGCCCCTGCTGCCTCCCAGCCAATCTCTTTTTGTTGTTTGGAACAGGAGAACGGAGCTGGAAAGCAGGTTAGTGGGTGGGAAAGGAATGGGGATTTTGCAATATCCTTCCCCTGCCATGCCCACAAAGCCATGCCCACAGAAACAGTAGTAAAAAAAATGAATCCCATCACTGGTTTGTATGTTCTGTTTGTTTGTTTGTTTGTTTGTTTGTTTGTTTGTATGTATGTATGTATATATGTATGTATGTATGTATTTTGGAACTTATCAATTTACCTTCTGTGAAATAGAGCAGTTGTTCATTATAAAATAGTATACTTTGTTTATTGTTACATTATTTATCCTGCTTATATTTTACTTTACTTTTGAGGCCTCAAGATAGCATACATAGGAGTCTCTCTTGTTTTAATCCCTCAATAATCTTTTGAGTGAACATTGAGCTTAGAATTTAGAATTTACCACATTTTTCGGAGTATAAGACGCACCTTTTTCCTCAAAAAAAGAGGCTGAAAATCTG